TCTCCACCCTTCTACTTCAAATAAGCCATGCTTTGTTCAAGGTCAAGAGACTCAGGCTTAGTGTAGGTCTCAAAAGTGTAAACCATGGCGACAAGGCTGTCATCGGAGACTTGGGCAGAGCTCACTGCAGAAACAGGCATCCCTGAAGCAGTCTGTGAACTGGCTGACCCAGACTGAATGCAACAATGGTGGTCATGGTGAAGAACTTGGTGGGAGATGTCCCCTAGTGCACAGCATGGGGATCTGGACCCTGCATGGCCAACTGTGGTTTGAATTCGCAGCTTGCGAAGACATGCCACAGTGCATGTGCACGTGTGCTCCAAATCCTGATGGGTTGGAGAAACAGAGGGAAAAAGGATTGCAGCCCTCCCTGCCCCCCCGCACTGGGGGCGCTTTCTCTCTCTCCCTTTATCTCTCTCTGGTGAGTGTGTATGCTTTATGGCAATTGGGGAAAAAAAGCATGTGATGGTTCAAGTACAGGCCCTGACATTTATTAGCTATGTATCCTTGGGCAAGTTATTTCATTTTTGAGTTTCATTTTTCTAATCTATAAGATGTGGATAAAAATATTCATCTCGTGAGGCTTTAGTGTGGATTAATGAGATAGGGCGAGTACTTAGCACAGAGCCTGGTTTGGGAAAGGGTGCCAGTAGGGGTCACACTGTGATGGTGAGAGGGGAAGATTCAGGCCTGAGGAGAGTCACAACTGAAGATATGCTGAAGCCTTCCACTTCTGTGTATGCAGACGCCATGATCCCTGCCTGACCAGGCGCTGCAAAGGGGCACTGGCAGTAACACTAACCCAGGAGGACCTAGCTGAGTCTTCGGGCTGTCACCATCACAACCTGATCTGCACCCAGAAGCTGCTGGGAGGCTCCAGTGCCTTGGTGCACATATGGTGTCCGACATGGCCTCCTTCCCTTGGGCAAAATAAGTACAAATACACCTCTGCAGTAGGAAAGCGTGGTAGGGAGGGGAAGGATACCAGAGCTGAAGCCCCATCCAAGCATAAAGGATGTAAGGATTTACAAGATGCACTGAACTGAGGACTCAAGGGCTTAAAAGCAAAGAAGAACAAGAGGGCAAATGGTGAGAGCGACATAATTTTCCTTCCATGAAGACAGTTGTGGTGTTGTTATAGGAGGTAGGTTTTTGGGAGCATCGAGAAGAGAGGGGCGTAGTGGAAGGGCAGAAGAGGCACCATGGACTGAGCAGGGGAAGCAGAGCAGATGGAGGTATACAAAGAGCCCCCATCCACTGGGCTCAGGTAGGGCCCGAACACGGTGATCACTAAGCAGTTGGCCTGGGAGGCCGAGGGTCTCTCCTGTGCTGGTTCTTCAGGACAAGCCGATTTTGGTAGGCCCAAAAGGTCCCTATTCTGTTTCATATTTTAAGTTTTGTGGGTGCTCCAGACACTGTGGTATGTGAGGGACTTTGGAAAGTTTGTGGAAAAATGGAATTAAAGTATGAGTTTATTTTGGTGCAAAAAATGTTTTTGAAATTTATATAGTTATTTTTGTTTGTTTAAATAATATGCATTTTCCAGGAATTTTTTGAAGACTCTTCATACATGAAGATAGACCTGAAATAAGGACCAGATTAGGTCTGAGAATCCAAAAATCGTTTTCTAGCTTTGACCTTGAGCCTGGGTTTCCTCATCTGTGACAAAGGGAGGAACATGCCTGGGCTCCTCCACGGGGCCACTGTTAAGGCCGAATGAGACAAAACATTGAAAAGCTATAGCCAGTCTCACTGGACACTCTGTTACTAACCTCTGGCCTTTGGTTCTGGGTGCTCCACACTTTTT